GTATGAAAATAGTTTGTATTCCGTAGAGATGATATTGAGCAAAGGCAAGTGATTTACCGGCATTGCTTTGTGTCTGTCGGTACAGCTAATGGCAACACCACCAACTTACCGACTGTAGGTGGTTTTCCAAAAAGCGACCAATCTTACTGAATAGCAAACAAGATAATGAACGACGTAAGTAAAGAAAAGTAAAGGACTTCAAGTAGCACTTTATTGGCTCCTCCCCAGCCTCTGGGTAAGAAAAGGGCAGACTGTCGATAACAGGAAAGTTGATTCCATGTATTTCCATCCAGCCATTGTCCAATCTGCTTATCCTACTGAGTCGTGGGGGGTCTGGAGCCCATCCTGGAAGCAATGGGCACGAGGCAGGGAACGACCCTGGATGGGGGGCCAGCCCATCGCAGGGCACACTCACACACCATTCACTCACACATGCACACCTAAGGGCAATTTAGCAACTCCAATTAGCCTCTGCATGTCTTTAAACTGTGGGGGGGAACTGGAGTACCTGGAGGAAACCCCACGACGACATGGGGAGAACATGCAAACTCCACACACATGTGACCCAAGCGGAGACTCGAACCCAGGTCCCAGAGGTGTGAGGCAACAGTGCTAACCACTGCACCACCATGCCGCCCCCCCATGTATTTCAATGGTGAAATATGATTGTCACACCAGACATATGCAAATGTAAATAAAAATATGAACTAAATAGAAAATCAATAAAAACACACCAAAGTAATCAAAACTAAGACCAAAATAACTTATTTGTTGAAAATATAAAAATGGGCTCAAAATTTGATGTTGCTTCCTTGTAAACAAAACACGGTGATTAATAGGAAAAGGAAGTAATATTTCTCAGACACCACCAAGTCCTTCCTCTCTTTCCTGTTGGCCCTAGACCAGCCCCGCAGAGCTTCACCCCATCCAAGACCTGTTCTACCTGTCTGGACTCAGATCTCTGTGCTGCAGCCTGCTACCTGCTAACTGCCAAGTCAACTTCTGTCTGGGCTTTCTACTTACGGCCAGTGCAGATCTGGATATTTGCACCCCCAACTGCCTGGTCAGTGGACTCCCTCAGCTCCAACACTAGCCGGGTCGTCTGCTGCTTGTACCCTGCACTGGTGAATTGAAGCTGCAGCTGTAGGATGTTCTTTCCGAAGAAGCCGGTATCAGAGAGGGACCGTGGCAAGCGCAACCACTTTCTGATCTTTCTCTCTCTGGATAAGGGAATCTCGCAGTGTTTTAACAGTCACATTATCCTGCAGTATAGTGTAGTTTGGTAGCACCACACCTTGAATTTTCTTGGAAGCTGGCTTTGGTTGATCCTTTCCAGACCGCCGAAGAGCTGTTCCATGAGGCATTGTCCCATAAGCTTGTCTGAGAGCTCAGCCGTGTACTTTCTCCCTAGGCTTCTGATGGGCTCTTCAGCCAGCAGTGGGATTTTCTCACCACCCACAACAAGGATGGTGCTATCATCTCTGACCCCTGTCCTAATCGAGAGACTTCGGGACTTGATCAAGAATGAAGATCATCAGCTCGTCCATCCTTTTCTTCAGCCTAGATGTATATGACACTATCAGCAGCAGGCTAGTAATATCATCCATGTAGCTTCTCAGGGGGGCAGTTTCTATCCTGATGGCAATCATACTCCTCCTACCATATGTCTTGCTCCAAGGAGTATTACCTCAAAGGCAGCCACAAACAGAATGGGGGAGATTGAGCATTCCATGGTGATTCCTACCTCCAAACACTGCCATCCGGTTGTGAAGTCCTGGAGGGCAAAGCCCATCTGCAGGTCCTGGAAGTAATTTGAGATCAGTCCTCTGATGCTGTCAGGCATCTGGAAGAACTCTGCAGCATAATCAATAAGCTGGTGTGGCATGGAGCCATAAGCATTTTCCAGGTCAAGCCACACGACATGTGGGTCTTTCTTTTCCTGTCTAACCTGTTGGAAGTGCTCCACCCAGCCTGGGAAGTCTGGAACCCCCGCCTTCTGGTAGTTGATGTCGATGTAGCCATTCACCGTGCCAAAATGGAGATGATGATCTTTCCTTCAATGTTGAGCTAGGCAATACTCCTGAACTGACCGATTTCCCTTGAGTCCTTTTCCTTGGGGATGAAAACCGCCACTGCTCTTCACCACTTCGACAGAATACATTGCTTTTTCCATGCAACTTACATGACAGTCCACAGCAGCTTCAAAACTGTGGGGCACTTTTCTCGATTTCTGTTAATGTGACCTCCACTTTGCACTCACTGAAATACTTCTTTTTCCCACGTGGTTTATCCATTGTTATTTAAGAAAAACATAGAACAAAGCGGGTATTTATACAGATTTACATATGCAAAGATACATAATTACAGGTGGGTCAGGGGGGTGGCTGTGGGGTCGTTCACGTGTGTAAAATTTCACGCTAATTGGGATTTATAAAGGGAATGTGCGTAGATCTGTGTTTACGCACAGTTTTGTGCATCTGGATTTTTTTCTTGCTTACGCACATTCCTAGTTTTGTCCGTACGCCATGTTTTAGTGTGAATTCTACGCACATCGTTATACATGAGGCCCCTGGCCTTTCACACTGCCTCTCTGACTTTGCTGAGCTTGGGGTTGAATTAGGATATAGCTGGGATTGGGTGAGGCATGTACACGGGCAAACCTAATGGCACACTCCTTGCTGGGTCACCATGCTGCCACCTGGTGTCTTCTTCCAACTTCCCACTCTTTGCTTCCTCTATCAGCTGCCTAGTTTGCCTGAAGGGATTCTTCTAGAAGTTAGTTTGTTCCTTTTCCTTCCTCTTCCTGCGCTTTCGGATGCGCTCAGCTCTCTGCAGGCTGGCTAGCCTCCGCTTAACATCCTCCCACAATGCTTTCAGACATTCCTTCTCTCTCGGTGTTACCTTCCTGCATTTCTTTTTCTAAGTTGTCATCGCTGTTGCACCAGCTGTTCTCCCTCCCTCTCTCTCACACCTCCCTTTCTGTATTAGCGCAGAGGTTTGCTTGGTGGTAATTACGCCAATCCAAGCTTTGCTCTCTTGATAGATTATATGTCTGAATAGGTTAAGCCTAGACTCTCTGCCCTCCCGCAATGATTTCTCCAGAATCTCACTAAGGTCTGCATCCAATTTTTCCCATACTATTGCCTCATTGGCCATCTAATCGTATCCCTCCTAGCTGGTAGTTGCTTCTCTGATATTCTTGGCTCTGGTTTTTCAGAATAAGCGTGAGCATCTCCAAAGTGATTGCATGGCAGATGACTCACCACTGAAGGGCCTTCCTCCTCATCTGACTGCCTTTCCTCAGTAGTGATGGGTCCTTCGACAATGAGGTGTTCTACCTGGCTTCTGGTCACTCTTGTCTGCTGATGGCCTTTCCCTCCACATCTCACTTTTCCTTGGTGAGATCCACAACCTCTTCACATTGTGTATGTTCATTCCTGGTATTTCTGTGTGATCCATCCGTTTAGGTCCATCTTTCACCCTGCCCCTCGGAGGGCCTGCAGGTCGTCTTCTTTTTCTAGGCTTCATGGTGAGAATTAGGTATCTCTCAAGAGAAACTAGCGGGTTTGCAAATTATTAGAGGTGCACTGATCCGATATTCAGATTTGTATCAGCACTGATCCACACCTATTTCACGGATCGGGTATCGGCCATATGTGTTCGATCCACGTCCGATACTTACTTATTCAGTTCCTATTTCTTGTTAAATCGATTTGTACAATCAATCGCACAAGAGCTCTTTTGTGGCATTTAACACTAACGCTGCCACTCAAAGTTTTTGCCACAGCAGTTAGGGGGGTGACAATCTGCAAGTATTTTATGCTTTTAACAACACATAGTGGCACAGTGATTTGCAATCTTTGTAAAAATAAAGTTTTGAAAGACGGAAGTAGCGTTTAGTGAGAAATCCCACTAGAAGCGCACGCAATTGTGCAGGACAATGCGAGTAATGTGAAAAAAAGCAATGGATGATTTGGGAGTCGCTAGCTTGGGCTGTTTTGTGGGCTGTTTTGTGCTCTCGCTTCAGCTTGTGATACAGGAGCGGCTGCTATTGTAACAAAGTGTAAGTGTCGCTGTTGCCAGTGGGAGAATAATTGGGGCATTTTAAGCATTTGCCACTTGCATATACTCTCTTGGAAGGCATTGAAATTGAACTGCAAATGCCTCAAAAACGCTTAAAACGAGATGTAAAAACAAGGTGCAACAGTACATTATGTTTGTTTCTAGTTGCCTAATTAAAGATTTCATACATTTTTTCATTTGTTTTTACTAGTTTAAAAATATTAATATATCTAAATACTTATATATTTATTATATTAAAATATGAAAGGAAAAAGAGCTCTTTTATCAGAATCTGTTTCGGTATTGGCAGTTGTGCATCGGATTCGGAACGGAACTGAAAAAATGTGGATTGGCTATTCTATACTGTACAAGGTACAGTAGATTGTTCCATTTCCACACAATCAAAGTAAAACCTTTTTTTGGAATCAATCCTTCCTCATAAGCAATGCCATACACTGTTTATTCGACAGCATAGGTGACCCATCTATGGACTGTTTGTTGTTTACCATGCTACATGAAAAATAAATATTTATAGCAGTCTGATGGTATATAAAATGCATTTGTTTTTACTAAGATGGCTAACTGATTAAAAAAAGATCAATTTAGCTTTTGGTTCAAGGTATAGTCACTAAGTTGAGATCCACTGAGACATATAGGCCTGAATAAAGAAATGAGTCATATGCAGCACTTAGACGTTATGCAGGCTGAAATTCCTTTGTTTCACATTGGTCTGTTTTTGTTGGTGTAATGCATTGTAAGCCTCCGAATAAGAAGATATCATGTGACAGGCACTTGTCAGTTTGTTCTGTCGTTACAATAATAGTGTTAAGTAATGCACTTGTAACTGGCCATTCATTGGAAGCTTAGTTTAGCTTATGCCTAGTCGACTCCTTAACATCGCACATGTTTGTTATGTGCTATTTACCTTACTTGTACTTTGCTGTGGACAAAAGCTTCTGCTAAATGAAAGTAAATATGAATTTAGTGCTGTATTGTGCCGAGCTGGCCCATGTCCAGGCTGCTTATGAGGCTTGATGAAATGTGAACGTGAACCCATAACTGTGACAGGGTGTGTCTGCGCTTCAGCACCTGCCCAGTCAAGCCCAAGTCATTCTGAAAAGGAACAGAAAGCAGTCAGAGGCCGGGACCCGGAGTGGCACTGCCCGTCCTGAGTGGTCCTGCACAACCCGCCGTGCTCACTAGTACCGTGGAATAGAACGAGAGAGTAGAGAGAGTTTTAAAACTTGTCTTTGTTCATCAGCATAGGAACGTGCTGATACAGCAGAGGCGGACACTGCAGGAGAGCCGAAGCTGGCTGATTAAGGGCCGAGCACTGATGAAGTGCTGCCATTTCGCAGCAATGACTAAGCTGTGCTGGAGACAGGCTTCGGAGGTGATTTACAGGACTAGAGAGATAACGGCTTTTGAATAGCATAACGGGATGAAGGGGCCTCTTAGGTGTTCTTTCTGCTAGTCCCCTTGTTGCAGGGCTCCAGCCAAAAAAAAACTTCAGGAGCCACTGGCTCCTAAACCCGAAATATTAGCCACATAGTTTTTAGGAACCAGAATCTCCATTACATGCCAAATGTGAAATAAATTAAAAAATACTTACATGGCATATTTTGTCTCCGGTCACACTGCCTTTCCTTTCTCCTCTCTGAGCTATCGGATCTGCCAATTGTTGCCTTCTGCGTTCTTATACATAATAACAGAAGAATAAATTACATGGAAATATGCAATATGTAATATGCAATATGTAAGCAAGATAGCTCAACTATTGAACGTGAAGTGCACACAGAAGGACTGAACAGGGCTGCCAGCTCTCATGCATCTGGCGTGACACTTTCAGACTCTCACGCTCACAGAAGAAATCTTACAGCAAATCTATATTATTCCATTATAAACCTAAAATAAGCTACATCAAAAGCTTTGAGGTAGTCTGCAAACCCTAAAAACTATCTAGAAGGTAATAAAACTGTTACATGTAAATGCGTGTGCACACTTCTGTCGAACTGATAATCTCACGCCAGCCAGCTGACCGAAGCTGGCAACCTTGATTTAAATATTAATAAAAATTTGCCCAGAAAGAAATCTGAAAAACCAAGAGGTGTTGCTAGTCTTTGTTTTTAAATATACTACAACCGTAAAACTGAACATAAAGCTAACTTTATTGCGGTGTCATAGTTAGGGTTTAAACCCGAAACCACTTTCGGGTATACCTCCCTCTCGCTTGATGATGCATGTTGGGGACATGAGGGTCAATACTGAAATATGTTAAAATTATTAATAAATACGCATAAAATATATAATACTATAGATACATGGTGTGCAATGTGCCCCCTCGCTTAATGCTTAAAGCACATCTTACAAGATGTGTCTGTATCGTTTAGGTTTGTACTTATTAGTCCATAAATAAATTCCATCTTTTGTATTTATACAGGCAGAGTGCAGTTATTAACAGTAATGGAAAAGTACCGTTTGATCTCCCAAAAGTCCATCCCACCTTTGCAAGAGTCCATTTTTTTCCCCAACCATCGATTTTTTTCCCGCTCCATCCCCTTCCTGAGGCTCCATATTCTCTGCAACAGTTGGCAAGACAGCGTGAGGAGTTTGACAAAACCCGCCGAATCTGTCAACACTGTTCTGGATGGAGCCGTGCTTTAATCACGTGATAATATAGCAGGAAAGGCAGAGGCGGGTAAACAGTGCACATAGTTAAAAGCTGCCACTTTTCTTGCCTTTTTAGTTTTTACTTTTTCTTGGACTGTGAAAGGCAGTTGCCACTGGTGACAGGAATGAAAAAACTAGTCGCACTGGCGACCAGTTTAGTAGCCGTCTGGAGCCCTGTTTTGGTACTTTATACCCTGGTGGGTGACAGTGGTACCATCAGTGAAGGGTTCCGCTAGGATCAGAGCTCTCCAAGTAAAAAACTGTCATAGTGTGTTTTAGCAGGTCGGGCCAGAATACCACCAGAAAGAGGTTAAGTCACCTTTATATCTCAGGGCTAGACATAAGCCGCGGCACCGCGGCCAATGGCAGTCGTACCTTTCAAAATTGGCCGCACGCCTCCTCAAAATTGAAGTACCTTACGGCCAAGATTGGCCTGCCTTTAATGTTTGTCTGGCCGTATGCCCCCTTTTTACCGAAAGTAACATTCATTACACAAAAGTCTTTCGCACGACCCGGTCCACTTTACCTCGTCAAAAATCGATGCATCTGTACTGAACCCGAA